ATGATGCACACACATACTATGTTGCATTGATACGGTCATCCATCGTTTCTCTTTTCGAGAAAAAGAGGAGCAAATAACTGCATGTTACAACATAATTAATACATTTTACTCTTGTTAAAACTGAAATTTATTTATTTTTACGGATATATCGTACTGTTTTTATCTTTTTTTCTATTATTTTTTACAAAATATATAATTAAAATACCAAAATACTATAATTTTATAATACTATGATTTTTATAAATCTTACTCACTGTTTATTTGTCATAAAAATAATATAATTAGGAATATTAAATTTTTTATTGTTGCAAAAATTCTTTTTTGTTATTATCGGTCATTCTAGTATTATCGTACTAGTAATATTGTATAACTCTTTTCTCTAACTATTAAAAACGCGCGAATAGCGTTCAAAGTAAAAAAAATGCTGCGCAAAGTAATGATTTCAGAAAAGAATGTGAACACATATGTTTGCTTTATTTGATATTAATATTTTATTAATACTTTTGATATTGATATTTGTGTGTGTGTGAATGCAAATATTTATAATATAATTCTATTAAATTCAGTCATATCTGAATATCATGTGTGGAGAATTTGTGACGTCGCGTTCGCATTGAAATAGAAGCGCGAAGAGCGGAAAGAAAGATGGGAAGAGGGAGGGAGGGGAAGCGCGACGGAAGTTAATTACAAAATTATCGCTTTTAATTGCGATTCCTGATATTTGCGCAATGGCGCGGCGGTGCAAGCGCGCGATTGTCGTCGCGTGCCGAATTATTGGATGTTGACGTCACCGCCGCTGTCGCCGTTGCCGAACCCCCTCCGACATGCGGCATCGCTTTGCTCATAATTGCCGGCACCAATTATGCAATTAGCGCCGCGCTCTAATGAGCGCGCAGTGTCATATACACACGGAATCTAAACACCCGGCTATTCGACACGCATTGTTCGCGCGCAGTGTGCTGAACCCCGTGTCTTCATTCGCCTCCAAGATATACGCCCCCATCTGGTTTAGCTTTCATTAACCGCATTATGCGTGTATTTTCAACGATATATCAACTCATAAGATTATTCCTTAGATTATTCCCCGTGCGGTTAATGTTCTCTACCAGCAGAAATATATAAATTTAACGTCTAAACTGTTTAGCAGCGTCTATTGGACTATAAAATGTCTCAAGCAATAATGGGCATATATAAAAAAAAAAAACGATTGAAATTAATTATTTATAATTAATCATAAACTTTCGTTTAAATAAAATATTTGAATATATATGTATGTATGTCTGAAACATAATAATTGGATTTATTAATCAACATGATAATTTAAAAAGAATTATCAAAGAAAGAGATGCTTGTCTGTGTGATTGAAAGAATAATTAAAGTTTTCAAACTTTTATTAATTATTATTTTAAATGCCTTTAAATCGCTTGTAGAATTTTTAAATGATATCGAGTTATACTTTTCTCTATGGAACTACATATACAAGGTGTCTATTCAAATCTCGTAAAAAAATTCTCTGAATATTCCCTGATGGTCCAGATATTTTTGTTCAAAATTCCAGATAAAAAGAATATTTTAAAGATTTTTTTTTTGGTGCAATTTTCTAAAATAAGTTTTTTTATTGTACGCGTTTTTTAGTGCTTTTTACTTACACGAAAAAAAAAAAAACATAAAGCCACTTAAATTTCAAGTGCTAGATTTACAAATGTACCGAAAAAAGAAAACTGAATAGCTTTCGTTAAGATAAAAATTTTTAACTTGCGTAACATTTTCATTTTTTATCACTAAAAATTAAAATAAAGAATATGTATTGTATATTCAATATTTTGTTAACATATTAAATATATAAACAATAGAAATATATTTTCAACACATAATACAACTTGGCTTATCGGCGGATTGCAAACTACTTACAGTATAAGAACAAAATTATTAAAGAGAGAATTTTTTTGAAAATTTTCTGAGTTCCAATAAAATTCCATGATAATTGCCTGATTTTTCCAAATATAAAAAAATTTCCTGAGATTTCCAGGTTTTCCATGTTTTCTTTCAAGGAGTAGACACTTTGATATATATAAATTTTTTAATCCTATGTTATGTATAATTTAAATATTTAGATAAAACTCGGGATAAGTCCCACGATAAACTTTTTTTTATTATAATAAGACTGAATAAAAAAATACTGTTCTCCACTACTGTTCGTAATTGCTCGCTCTTCATTTCGAATATCATCGCAGTCTCTTTTGTTATCGGCCTCGGTAAACGCCCGGGCACAGCGTATAACGAGCGTGTAACAAATCCGATGGCGTGTGCCAACGTGTAAACACACTCCGCAACACTCGAAGCCGCAATCCCTTCGCCCTCGCACGCAGTGGGGCGCCACCGCATCGGTGATCGCACAATAAAACACTGGCATAATATTTCGCCCGGCTGGTTGAACACCGCAAATATACTCTAGGACCACATGCCGGCCCTATTTTGCGGAGGGTGAGAAGGATATAGCAAAGAGAAAGAGGGGGCGGGGGAGAGAAGGGAGCAAGGGGCGAGAGAGACGCGTATGCTGGCGCGCGAGAGTGGAATCTGCGAGCAGCCCCCGCGGTGGCCCCCCTTTCTCCCCCTCTCGTGTGCCGCAGGGACACCCGCGGGCCTCGTGTCCCCCTTCGCGGATTAGCTTCGCTACATTTCGTCCCTTCTGTCGGTACGTATGTCCCGTCATTATGCGCCTAACTCTCTGCAAACGCAAAACCAATAGCACCATCATCCACAGCAGATGAATTTATGGGAATCGGAGGATGAGTGGATTGCGATTGTTGCCTAGAGTTTCCTGGATCGCGATAAATCGGCTGCTTGTTTCCACGATTAATCGTCGGATATTTGATAGCTATGTGGTAAAATGCATGGGAGATATATATGTTTATAATTTCTTAAAAACTAATCTCTCTCTTAATGTATATTGTGTGTATGTGTTGTGTATATATGAGTATTAAAATAAAAAATATTCACTTTTTCTAACGTTTAGAGTGTTCTCGATTCAATTTGAAGAGATATGAACTCTGTTTTATTAATATTAGAATCAGTAATTGGAAATATTATAGCAATAATAAATTATATTTTTTATAATACTCTATATGTGATACACTCTTAGGTGCTCTTTAAAATATCTAAAATTTAACAAAGTAAGATGAATGAATAATAGAATATGCATTTTTAAAATTTTACGTGTTGAATTAACTAAGATATTAAGAATATATTTGTTTTTTTGTTTCACCGACAAGGGAGGCTACTCCCTTGTGCGGACAAAGTAACACAATTTAATATCACGTTAAATGTATATTCCGTAAAAGTACATTTAAGTACGTAAGGGAGGGAGGGGAGTGAGACTCTCTCTCTATATAGCCGACGAGCCGTTTTCGCCGTAGGTCAGACGGCTGAAACGAGAATTGCTCGAATTTTGTTAAGTTTGGCAGCAATTACTTTTGATACCCGACACGCGGGCGCCGTAATTGCGTTGGGCCAAGCAGAACGCGCGACGGGAGAGGGGTAATAATTCGCTAATATCAATTTCAAATTTCAATTAGTATCATCTCGACGTCCGCCTCTGCGCTTCTCCCGCTTTCTCTCTCTTTCACTCTGTCCCTCTCTATTCGCGGACCCCACAGGAACACGCCATGATCTAAAATTCAATTTGTCCCTTCGTACCGGAGAGCCGCAAAGAGAGAAGGAGAGACACAGCGCAACGGCGGCTGATAGAGGGAGACACGGGAGACGAAGGGGAGACGTCGCGATGGAGCGAGCGAGATAAACAGCCGCATAGAGTGATAAGGGCAACGGCGGCGAGGGGGAAAGGGGATCGGGTATAGTTAGTGTGTACACCGGTTCTCTAAAGCCACTCGCGTGCACGCCGTTATATAACGAGAGAGAAACGATGGGCGACGGCGGCCGGGCCCCGTAGGCACGCGCATGCGCGACATGCCGACCCATTATAAATTGATAACTTCGCCGTTTATTAAGTTCCACGACCGATGCCTGCTTAGGCAAAGAGCCCTCTCTACGCGCCGTGCTACTCGCTCTCTCTCTCTCTCTCTCTCTCTCTCCCTCTCTTTCTCTTACTCTCTTCCTCTCTCCCTCTCTCGCCTCGTATGCAGCTCTCTTCTCTCGCCGATATATACATTATTTATTTACACGAGTTTACAATCCCTCTAATGGGGATTGACGTAATCGGCCACCCATCCGCTTTCCTCTCCCCGCCACCCCCTCCCCCACGTATAACCGCCCACCCCGCTGCAGCACGCCGCTATCGCGCTCCCTCTTAATCATATTTCACCCCGCTTTCGAAAATCCGCGCGTCGCACGGTGAAATCGGAAGTGGCTCCGATTCTCTGCTCTCCACGAGGAGTCATCGCGATACCCCCTCAGCACAACATTAGGATTAAAAAAATCTGTAGATACATAAGGCGATTAGACGTATATCTATTATTTAATTTCATAAGAAAAAGTCCATGTTTCTTTGCCGATAATTCTCCGACGATAATCATGACAGAAGTTTTGTCTTTAGTACTTCAAAAAATTCAAATTTCTGGTATTTTTAAATTGATCTGATATCTAAATTTTGACAAATTATTTATGATAAAAAGCTATATATTTATTGCCGGATTTTATTTATCTATTAAGCAAGATAAAGAGGATTAATATCTCGCCTATACATACTTTTATCCTAAAATTATTTTATAACGCAAGGAAACTCGTCGCTCGCTCGAACCACTGGTCGTGGAAACCTTTTTTTTTTTTTTTCGCGCGAAAGAGATTATGAAATCAATTGACATTGACGCGTGTGGTTGCAGATTGGCGCGGTCCACGCCCACCAGCCGAACAATAACCACCACCAGCACCATCAGCAGCAACAGCAGCAACAGCAACCGTCGAGTCAACCGCAGGTGCCGGGTGCTGGCGCGGGGGGGGCCGGCGGGCCGGGGGGCGGCGCGGCGGTGGCCAGGGCCGGAAGCATGTTCTGCTACCACTGCCCCCCGGGCCTCCCGGCGCCGCGATTACCGCCGTCCCTGGAGTATCCTTTCGCCCCGACTCACCCCTGTAAGTAAAAATTCGATTCTTCCTCCTGCGGGCGCGCAACGATATTTTTTATCTCCCTAGTGGTCCCCCTCGTCGATTTTCGATCGGCGTCAAGTCGACCGTATAGCTTTTTCATACTGATAAAAATAGATATTACGCGAAGTTTTTGGATTTATTCGCGCGCTTATTCGTTGAGAAGGGGATAGTTTTTAATAATAACATTTTTTTTCGCGCATCGAGAAATGATGTGAAACTCTCACGGAAAACTTTAATAGAGAAACAGATGGAGCGTAAAAAAACTGCATATACGGAGAGAATACATTTGCAAATCGAATCGTCTACAAATCTTGATCTCTCCATTCGCAAGTTCAACTTTTTCAATCTCAAACTGATACGTCCCTCAAATAGGCGATATTGTTTTTCGTGAGAAAAATCCCACGTTTTCGAGATAATTTCCATGAGAGAGATGACAATAGGCAAAACGGAAGAAAGAATAGATACGAGCGGCGCGGAGAAAGAACGAGACACCGGGTATACAACGGGGAGTGTGGCGAGGGAAAAGGGGGAAGGGACGAAGGGAGGGCAGACTGATTGTACCGGCACTTGCGCTCTAGCGGAACACATCGATGAAGTTACATTACTGACTAGACCGAGTTACGCAAAGTGGACGCTACAAACTGGACGGCCGCTAAACTTAATTTGCACTTCGAGCCAACTTCCAGTTAAACCGCGTCCCGCCGGCAGTCGAACCGAGTCACACTATCCAAGAACTTCGAATGCCAGTTTGTCTATTCACAGATCGTTTTCCAAGTCGCGTCCCATTCCCGGTGACAAATTTTCGGATCGCAATCTATCAAACCGACGATAATCAATGATAATAATAAGCCTGTTCTCTCATCATGTTTGATTAGCAATGATGCTTTAGCCTTATCGAGTTACAACATAATCGCACGCGATAACACGAGAGATTATTAATTTTTTGAATTATATTAATTTTACTCGAGAAAGAGAGAGAGAGAGAGAGAGAGAGAGAGAGAGAGAGAGAGAGAGAGAGAGAGAGAGAAATATTAATCCAGTTTCGAAAATTTTTCGTCGCTTCCGATTATAATAAATTTGGTCATTCTATTGCGATTTTTAAAGCGCATAAAATGCTTAGTGACAGACAAAATAAATAAATAAATAAATATGTAACGATATTAAAGATTTATATTAATATAATAAAGCAAGAAAAGAAACTTTACTAGTCTTTTATTTTTTATTGTCTAGTTATAAATATAACTAGTTATAAATAACTTTTAAATTCATAAAAATATCAAAATAATTTCAACTAAATAACAAAACGCCGTATACATCACAATATTAACTTTGACAAGATTTAGACCAAGTTTAATAAAGGCATGAAATTAGGAAATTTGTGTTACTTTATCCTCTTTTTAGCCTTTGCCACAAAATATATGTCAAATATACGTCAAATAAAAAGAAAATAATCCGTCGCTTATTTTACGGAATATAAATTCGCGGGGAATTTAGGAACGTGGGAAGTATATACGCGCGCTATTCTTTATATTCTCTTTAAAACACAACGCCCATTGAGGCTCATAAATGTGGGAGAGACGGCGATCTCTCCTCTCCGGTAGATGATCGAACAGGGCGTCGAGGTGGACGCGGGGGCACAGGGGAAGGGGGGAACGGGTGTCCTCAGGGACGTCCGGGCACCCTTCCAGCTACCGATTGCCCCCTTCTTCCCCTCTTCTACTTCCCCCTCCCCCCTCCCTCTCTCTGGTCCCCGCCGGCTCGTAGCCTTCTCCCTGGTCTCCTCTACCCCCCGTTGGGATAAACAGATTAGGTAACTACGTGATAAGTCGGTAAGTGGGTTCACTCGGCCCACGGTCCAGACCCACCGACATTCGCTCTAACATCTAACTACCTCGTTAGTGTCATTAGTAACGGTCGGGGTGTCATTAGATTTCGTTCTCTACGTGTAGTTTTTCCACGGGTCTCCACCACGAGTCCCCTCCCTCACGGGGACTGCCACCGAGGACGAGACCTGCAGTTCGCAAATGCAACGGATACGGACAATCATGGAGGGCGCGTGTGATGCGCGTTTGGAATAATTTTGAATTGTTCATCCCCCCTCCGATATGTGTGTCTACCCGTGTGAAATCAGCGTAGAGTGCAGAATTTGAATAACATGAAATTCGAGTTGAATTTCATATTAATTTAGTAGTTAATTTTCTCGAAGATGGAACTTTGCCCGAAAGAATTTTTATTTTTCTTTTTATTTCGAAGGATCTAATTTTTCATATTGATCTCAAATTTCGACGTGCAATATTTCAGTTTATTTAAAACAAGGTATATATACATATATTATACATATATATGTATACATATTAATAATTGTATGTACTACATGTTATGCCAAGGAATCGAAATTTAATAGCTTAAGGCAATAATTTCTGAATTAAGGGCTTATTAAATTTTATCTGAGAGAAAGTATAAATATATATCTCAGTTATGTTGATAATGCGATTTTACGTTTCGTCAGGAAATGACACACGCAAATTAACGATACTCTTCGCTTCCCGTGCGCGAAAAATTAATCACCTCGCTTTGTGTTTTCTGCCGACGGGTAGACAAAGCGTCAATGACGACGAAGCGTGTCGTGAAAGAAAGGCGCGCGTGCGTCCTGAGCGCAAAAGTCACCGGATCTCTCTATCTTTCTCTGTCTGTCTGTCTCTCTCTCTCTCTCTGTCTCTGTCTCTATCTCTCTTTCTTCCGTGTACCCGAGGCACTACTAATAAATTGGATCAGACCGACTCCCGATGAGTTGTACGAGTTGTCTGGATCCGGGCTTTACTTCGGCCCGACTCTAATCTAAGATCTTGAGTGGATTTCAGTTTGGGGCACCGGCAAATTTATTTAGCCGCCGCGGTCGTCGCCCGATTCGCTTCTCTGTCTTCGTTTCCTCCGCAGTAACAACGACGGTTGTTACTTATCAATACGAGAACGTGAAAAAAATCTTTCGGGCTTTGCAGAATAACGCTACACATATATTGTCATTATATATATTTTATATATCGTAGTTCACCATAAATTTGAGAGAAAGAATTTCTCTTGCGTTTATTTATAAATTAAAAGAATATTGAAAGATTCAAAGAGAGAAAAACGAATATCAAACGCTGTTATTGATAAAATTACATTATTTTATACATTCGTCGTTTTATGCCTTAGACCATCGAAGGCAGATATAAATTTTGCTTCACAATTAGATTTATATTATAATTTTCTGAATGATTGCATGCGACAAATAAGGGATAGTACATTTGCGTACTAAATCAATGTAATTCGTAAGACAAAGAAATTCATAATTGGTATGATAATTATATACAACGGAACACGAAAATCAAGTTTCAAGTGCATCCGCAAGTCCGCAATGTCGTTAAACGTGCTGATAAAATATCGGCGGTCTGAAAATCCTCGTATCGTTTATTTTCGCGTGCGGCTTAGAACGAAAATCCTCGCGCGGATCCTCGTTGATATTAATTTTGCAAACGATACGAGAGATCGTGGCGACTATAGCGTATAATTGCACGTCCGCGACAGTTATGAAAGTTCAGTGGCATCGAGGCGAAGTATCTCGTCCCTGTGGATGCAACTATATGGGTAAATCGGCTGCATTGTGATGGCGCAACACCATCACGTCGTTATCCTCATCTCACTTACTCCCCTTGTTACTGTTATCATTCTCTGTCGAGAGGGAGAAAGAGTGAAAGAGAAAGAGAGACGCGGAGAGAGAGAGAGTAAAAGAGAGAGAGAGGAGGAGGAGGAGGAGGAGGAGGAGGAAGAGACATTGTGCGAGCAAGCGAGAGATAGCCGGGCGGCGGAGAGAGAGTGGCATGAATTTTTATGAGCTTAGGAAATTAATTTGTGTTTTTCGCTAAGCCCCGGCTTAGCGCCGCGGTAATTAATTGCGCTGATTGTTCTGCATCATTGATGAGCGGTTCCGGCCGCTTCGTAACGTCTGCTCCCACTTCGCGGTCTCGTTGTATGCGCGTATATCCGACCAATGCCTTTATATCGACGCTTCACTTTTCGACGCTTTGCGTAGATGTATGCGTACATACATACACGCGACCGCAGTTAACCACGCTTTTTCCGAATACTTTTAATTAACATGTCTCGTCTGGCCGCGTAATTACAAAATGCATATAGTAGAAACATGAAAAATATATATATATATATATATATATATATATATATATATATATATAAAGAAAGAAAATTGGTGTAGTTATATATGTATATACTGAAAAGTTTTTGTTCAAATGTTATGAAATCACAGAGCATACTGTAAATTTTTTAATGAAATACTTGAATTTGTATACCGATGGTTTCGGAAAACAAAAAGGTGTAGAGACAATATACTCGAAATCCGATACAAAGAGAATCCAGTGCAAGAATTCAAGAATCGCCCTTGCAAATTTCTAAATTGCATTAAATCAAATTAGATTAAGCAGAAAGATATAAGTATGTATGTGTATGCGAATGTGATTCTTCTTAAAATGAAATATCTAAACTTATACTTACATTAATAAACTTTCAATCAATATATCTTGTCGTGAGAAGGCCTTATGTTGATCATTTTATTTTGTGCAATAACGCTTACCGTATAAATTTGAAAACTCCGCAAGATTGTCAGTAACTCACAAGTTTCTTCAAGTTATCGAGTTTCCCCAACCCTAGTCAAGCACAGTCAAATATGCGAAGTACCGAACTAACAATAAGTAAGTTCCATTGGAACTTCGCAAATTCGAATCTGTCAAGAATTAAAAGGCGAAACTTTGTCGAATTAATTCGTCTAAAATAGATCGGGAGAGAAATGGATTTTTTTTATATATATATTGGTAATAACGTCCATTATATACAGTTTACTATGGCTGCACATGTATTCAGCAATAAAAAAACTGATTCTTATATTTTTGATAATCTATGAAAAAAATTTAATTAAATTACTTTGATAATATTTATTACTACCACTTATCGCGATTTTTTATTACCTAGCTTGCAAAATCTCGTGATTATTACTTTTGTTTTATTAATACTAAATTGTTTTTCTAACCGTTAAATTATTAGTGTAAGTTAAAATCTGCGCAAATTATGAATTATAAACCGCGCGCGCGCGTTTTATTAAAACGGTTACTTTTTATTCCTCCCGGCCTTCGTTGCAGATACTAGTTACTCCGCCTATCATCCGGCACTACACGGAGTTGGCGAGGATTCCTTCGTGAGGAGGAAACAACGGCGGAATAGGACTACTTTCACCCTTCAGCAACTGGAGGAACTCGAGTCCGCCTTCGCGCAGACTCACTACCCGGATGTCTTTACGAGGGAAGATTTGGCTATGAAGATTAATCTCACGGAGGCTAGAGTACAGGTGAATATCAAAAGCTTTTCAATTTACAACCTGATTATATTTCTTTCGGATTATAAATATATATTTCAAACATGTCCAGAGAATAGCTGAATATTGTTCAATTATTATTATTTTTTTATTATAATTTTATTATAATACAATGATTACAAAATTTTCTTATAATAAAGTTATAAGAAAATTATATATAATTATGTATGTATAATAAAATATTTTTATTTACTCTCTTTTATTTTGTCACTGCAAATGCTTGCACATATCTTACTACATACAACATGTAACAGTATGTTTGTAATGATTAAATTATAAAACGATCTATTGGTATAAGAGAGATGAATAAATTCACGGTAAAAGAGCAACTGTATATTATATTTAAGGATACATTAAAACAGGTTACTTGAAAGTATGCTAATCACGTTGTATAATCACGTTTATTCGATAACGTGAAAGCACGTGTATTAAAACTTCACAGAATATTCGCGTCTGAGAGCATTGGCAGTTTAATCTTTTAATGCGTCTCAGCGCATTGAGATTGGATTTCGCGTTTTAATGCGATGAGAAAATTACGCGCGGCAACCCGGTAATTTTTTGTCCGCCTCTGTAGCGTTAAAAGTAGAGAAATTCCGAGAGCATTTTTCACTGCACGCGTTTTTGTATAATATTTCGCACAACACATAATAGAATGTATTATCTGCGCCTATGTATACATCCATTAATATTCACAAATGGTTATTTCGCAAAAATATGTTAAAGCATGCTTTGGACAAACCTTTTTCAATTTTTATTTATCTATTTGTTTTATTATTTAAAACATCTATTTTTAACGTGTTATGAGTAGATAAAGAGAATACGCAACAGTTAGAATAAAAGCATGTTAGATTTAACAACTAATTGAATAAAAAGAATCTCTGTAAAAAAGATTGGCAATAATGATCGATTGTTTGGTTGTACGGCGGTAATACCGCCGCAAAAGCGATAACATATATACAGAAGGGCGGAAAGATGAAGGAGGGGAGGGGGAGGGGGGAGAAGGGGCCCGGACCCCCAAGGGGCGAGCTGACACCCTCGACCTGACGTAATCTTCTGACAGAGTAAGCCGGTAATCTCCGGGATTACTTTGTACTCCTGGCCTCACGTCCTCACGGCCATATTTACTCACGCCGCTGTAATTCGCGCTGAGAATCCCTGTAGTAACGGCGATTCCCTAAAATCCAGTCGGAACATTTGCGGAGGATATCTGATTACCAATGGCGGCTTTTGATTTCTCGACAGACACCGACGTGAGTCTTCGTCGAATTGCAAATAGTTTTCGACAGAGTTTGAAAATTCAGAGTTAAATATCTCGATACTAAATATAATCTTTCTCTTGCTTTTCAATCATGTATTATTACATGAATTAATTGCGATTGTTATTTTACAAAATGTAATATCGCTCGCACATTACCGGAGGAGTCATAAATATCCCGACACCTATCTTGACTTGTGAAGGATCCTCGATCACAAAGTGATAAGAGGCTGTTCTAAGAGACAGCGCATTGTGCGGATTGCGAAGCCGAGGAGAAGGCTGCAATTTCTCTCTCTTTATGAGAGGGGGAGAGGGAGAGAGAGAGAGAGAAAGACGTTAGAGCATATGTACACGTTACAATGAAAGAGACAGAAGGGAGACGGCGAAGAAGGTGTGGAGAGGGGAGGAGAGAGTTGGTCTGGCTGTGACGCAATTACGGCGCAGACTCATTGTTTCATTAGCAAAGACAAAGGGAATCTGGAATAATGGACAAATAGGCGCGTTTATGTAGCGCCCGTCCTCTCTTCTCCAGACTCCAATTAGAATCTCTTAGAGGGGGGTAGCGGCGGGGGCGCGGATGGCGGGGGTTGTAGGAGGGTTCGCTATGTATCGCCGAGGCACGTACCGCGCACGTCGTCTCGTCACCCAAACGACGGGCGTGCGTATATTTCCTCGCACATACGTATTATTCGCTTGCGAATCGTGCGTGTTCGGGAGTACGGGAGGTGCACATGTGCCAAATGGCAATTACTGTCATGCGTGAATTAGACGGGACGCGCCGCGTCAAACGCCACGCCGCACCGCTCGCACCTGCGTTCGCCCTGGACCAGGGATGCTGGACGCTATTACATATCGGCTCTCCCATTCTCGACGATTGAATTTTACAAATCATCTCTCTTTCTCTATTTATTACACGTTTTTTTTTTTTAGAATTGTAAAATGTAAAAAATTTTAGATAATAGAAAAAAGATAACGTGGAATATTATTGCATACTCTTTTATCAAGATAATTAATAAAAATATTTAAAATTTCGGATTGTCAAGTATTAAAAAATGAAAAAAGAATATTTATAAACACATGTGATTAAAAAGGCTCTTTTTATGATGGAAAAACTGTTGAAAAAAAGAACAGCTTTTCGTGAATTATCATCAATTATCGTTTTCATTGTTTCTAAAAAGCGTAATGCAGCGATACGTGCGATCGGTAATCCCATAACAAACAGCAATACATTAACAAGGGTGCGTCCGATCAAAAATGTTTTACCAGTGACGAGGTCGAGCCACGCCATTATCAACGAATTTCGGATTAAATTCATATTGAAAAAGGAAAAAAAAAAAATGGAGAGGAGAGAGATATCGCGCGAGGGTGGAAAGGAAAACGACGACGGTCCCTACGGAACCATGGCTTTGTTCCCAGCTATTACTCGCCCCCCCCCCCCCCCC